GGAGGGATGAAAAGAACAGGGTAGTACATGAGAAGCTAGGGTTTAACAGGCACAGAATTTCAGTTGGGGAAGATGAGAAAGTTCTGAAAAATAAATGGTAGGGATGGCTGCACAACAATGTAAAATTTTAAATGTCACAGAAGTGTACGTTTAAAAATGGTTAAAATGGGAGCGCCTGGGTGGCTCAGTCAGTTAAGCATCTGCTTTCAGCTCAGGTCATGATCCCAGGGTCCTGGAAAGGAGCCCAGGGTTGGACTCCCTGCCCAGCTGGGAGTCTGCTTCTCCCTCTGCCCCTCCCTCCCATTCGTGCTCTCTCTCGCTCACTCTCTCAAATAAATACAATCTTTTAAAAAATAAAAATAAAATCTTTAATAAATAAATAAAAATTAAAATGGTTAAAATGGTAAATGTTATATATATTTTACCACCAAAAAAAAAAAAAAAGACATGAAAGAAAAAAACTGAGTTTAGAGAGTAAGGAATAGGGTGAGAGCCACTGGAGAGAAGAGCTCAGACCTGTAGCTAAGACATGTAGGATCCTGTAGGCCACGGTAGAAAGTTTAGGACAGTGGAAAACTGACCAAACTTGCATTTTGTAAAATCACTTTGGCTACTGTAGTTAAGATCAAAATGAAGAAGGCTCATGGAAGTTCTGACAGGACCAGCTGGGAAGCCAATGAGGCCATCTGGGCATAAGAGGAGAATGCTAGAGCTTGGGCTTGGACTGGAGCCATGGTGAGGAGGAAGAGAACTGGGCAGTCTTCAGAGACTCATAGGAGCAAAATCAACAAGACTTGGTGATGATTTGGATGTGAAGGGGTGACAAAGTAGCTTCAAGTGTAACGCCACTCTTCAGCCTTGAGTGAATGGGTAGCTAGTGGAGGGATTCATAGATATAAAGAACACTGGAAGAGGATCTGATTTTGGAAAGAAGAATGATCACTAGTTCCATCTTAGACAAACTGAATTAGAGGCACCTTTGAGATTTCTGGTTGGGATGTCAATGTAGGCAGTTGAATATATAATGTATACAAGAATATACATTCCATGTACTGGTCTGGGCTGGACATAGACTTTTGAAAGTCATTACCACATGGGTGGAAATTGAAGCAAGCTTTACATAGCCAGAGAAAAATTACAAAATGAAAACAGAAGAGAGTTATGACAGAGTCCAAGACGACCTCCAGGGATCCCTGCCTCCTGGTATTCACACCCTTGTGTAGTCCCCTCCCACACTGAGTCAAGGTTGGCCTGTGTGATGAATGATTATGAAGCTAGGTCATAAAAGGCACAAAGGATAAAATCAGTGGGATTTGATTGATAAAGGAGATTGAAACCCCTTCACTGTATGGGCCAGGAAAGAGGCTAGGATTCCCTTCTCAAAGTGCATTCACAAGGGAACGAAGATAGGTTCTTCTCACCACAAGTCATGAAAGCAAGGCTCTGGCTTGGATGGGGAAGGAAAAATTAGTGCCAGACCCACAAAAACCCAGAGCTTTTGAATGTGGAGCCTCAGGCTCTCAGAACCTGCAATGTGAGTGCTTTATAATAGGGCTTGGTGCCTTCTGATTGGTGCAGCTAGAGTGGCTCAGGCACCACAGTGGACTGGCTATAGAGATGGTGAGATGTGACGTCTGAAGTACTAGCCCTCCTCTCTAATCACTGGCCATTCTGACTCCAGAGGGTTTCTCTTCCAGGCTTCATCCCTCTACTTCCAAGGTCACACCCTGGACTGCTGTATCACTGCAGAAGAGCTCCAAGTCCGAAGTTGTAAATGCAGACACCTGATCTCTGACTGCCCCTGGGCTGTTCTCAGAAGTCTGCCCATTGTTCTCTGGCCTGCAGAAATCTCCAGTCCACTTGGCCTTTTACTTTGTTCTATGTATCACCTCTCTCCAATCTTTATTTCCTTCCCCATCAGCTGAAAGTCCAAGGTCTATCACTTCCATCACCTTCCCAATATGCTTACCTCCATTGTGTGGTTATTCTTCTGTCACACCTGCCTGGCAGCACTCCAACTCTGGAGGGAAAAAAATCCAACCTTCTGGCTTCTCTAAATCTGTTCCTGAGCTATAAGTCTTGCTGGAAAAAAATCTCAAAACCACACAGATCAGTGCTATGTACATACATTGCCCGCCTCCACCAGGTCCTCAACACAGTCCAGCAGTCCTATGTTTGCCTCTCTCCAGTTCTCCCTAACACCAACCTAAAAATCTCCCTCATGCTCCCCAGATCTTCCACTCTTCAACATCCCCCTCGCTCTCCGACGTGCCTCCTTCACTGAGGAAAGAGCAACCATTAAAGTGATAGGCTTCAGCTCCCACCAACTTCTGTCCCTCTAACTACCACCTTCATTCCCTTTCCCCGTTTACAGCCAAACTTCTTGGGGAAAGTGGCCTGCTCTAAAGGTTCCGTTTGCTTCACCTTTCCTGTATTTCACTGTCCCTGGCAATTCTCACTGCTGCCTCGACACATCACTGAAATTTCCTTCATTAAGGACATCAAAGATCTATTCTCTACCTAGATTGACCTTTCAACAGCCTTTGTATCTGCTGTCCTATCTTGCTTTCTCTTATTTCTTATATGACTGCCCCCCTCTCCTGGATTTCCTCTTATATCTCTAGTCTCCCCACTCCCCATTCTCCTTTGTACTTTCTTTTCCTTAGCCATGAGAGAAACCAACTCACTCTCCTTGGGCAGCCCTATCCACTGCGAGGTTCCAGTCAGTTTCCACAAGAGATGCTTCTCAAAGCTTAGATTACCAACCCAGCCCTTGACCCTGAGTTCCAGACCCAAATAGCCACAAACTTCAACATGTCCATTTGACATCACCTTGCATGCACATGTCCACGGATGACTTTATCATTCTTACTTCCAGTCAGTTTCTCCTTCACTATTCCCTGTCTCCATAAATGGCATCACCAGTCTCTCAGTTGCCTAAGCCAGAACACCAGAAGTCATCCCTAATTACTCCTCTCCCCCCACCCATTAATTCATTAAGGCCTGCCAAGTCTATTCCTAATGTCTTTCAAATGCACAGATTTCTTTTTTCACTGCTCTCACCATTTCTGGCCAGCATACCTGCAGCAAGTAGCCCTCTCCATGTTTTGTTTTTTTTTTAAGATTTTTTTTTTAAAGATTTTAAAATATTAAAGAGCACGAGAGGGAAGAGGGTCAGAGGGAGAAGCAAGACTCCCTGCTGAGCAGGGAGCCCGATGTGGGACTCGATCCCGGGACTCCAGGATCATGACCTGAGCCGAAGGCAGTCGCCTAACCAACTGAGCCACCCAGGCGCCCTTTCTTCTTCTTGTCTGGCTGCCCTACCTTTCACCATATTATAGCCAGGAACACTCTAAAATGCATCTCTGACTTCATTTCTCTTTTGCCTGAAACCATCTATGGCTCTGATTTTTCCTAGGGAAGAGTCCAGGCTCTGGATACCTGTCACCTGGGTAACTTCCTCTTCCTACTGAAACATCTACTCTCCTGGAGGGCTTTCTCTCTGTGCTGGACCAGGTTGGTCCCCTGCACCTGTCCCAGCTTAACACCATCTCTGTTATTGTCATTCGCCATTTGTCTAAACAATAGAGCTGCACAGGACAAAGCAAGGCCTGCACTCTTCTCCTGATGGTTCCTTCTCTGCCCACTCTGTTTTCTGCAGAACCTCTGGGGACTTTGCCTGGGGAGGGAGCCCAGTGTGTGGTTAATAGTACAGGCTGGGAACCAGGAAGCCCTGAAGGTATGTTGCCCCACTTTTCTCACTGGGTTTATCCCTCTGTGAAATGGGATGAAAGCTGCCTCCTCTCAGGGTTGAATAAGGGGACTGTGGAGGGAGAGCCCAGCAAAAGCAGATGAGCCTGCTCAGGGAAATGAAGCTCTATGAGGCAGAATTGCCCCAGACCCCTTTTGAGTAAAGGCTCCCAAGATCTTCCTCCTAACTGATGCGGCTGCTGCTCACTCTGCGTTGCTGGGAAAACCAGCCTTGTCCCCATGTCCACAATGGATGGGCTGAACAAGAGAGAAGACAACCACTTCTGAGTTTCAGGGTTGCCAGCAGTATATGTGGTCCAGGTGGGTGGGCCCAGCTTCCTTCTTTTATCATGCACCAAACCACCTCTGCAGTATGGTACATGGGCAGTATGGGGTAGTAGTTAAGAACGAGGGTTCTAAAGCCATACTGCCGGGGCGCCTGGGTGGCTCAGTCGTGGAGCGTCTGCCTTCGGCTCAGGTCACGATCCCAGGGTCCTGGGATCGAGCCCCACATCGGGCTCCCTGCTCCGTGGGAAGCCTGCTTCTCCCTCTCCCACTCCCCCTGCTTGTGTTCCTGTTCTCGCTCTCTGCCAAATAAATAAATAATATCTAAAATAAATAAATAAATAAAGCCATACTGCCTGTGGACAGATACCCACTTTGCCCTTGGTAGCTGTGAGATCTTAGGCAGGTGACTTCAACCTGTTTTCTCACCTGTAAAATGGAGAAAATAATAGTGTTTTTTAGGGTTGTAAGCCTAATAAGCATTATTACCACCCAAAGGAAAAATAGGCATATGTGAAAATTTCTCCCTCAGCCAAGAGTGAAGCAAACACCAGTGTTTTCCTAGGCCCTGCAGGGTTTGGCTTGGCTGAAGGCAAAGGCTAGGGTTCACGCTCCAGACGCAGATCTGGATGCACCAGAGTGATGTCGAAAGACGGAGGAGTAGACTTGGAGTCAGGAATCTGGATTCTGGCCACGATTCCCGTGTGACCCTGGGCAAAGTACTCCCACAGACAGACAGGACACGCTGCCTAAGAGGTGAGGAGCCGACGCGCGGCCCCACCCCCGAGGCTAGCCTCTAGCCTGCGCAAATGCAGAGGAGGGGCAAACAGCTCCGCCCCCGGGGGCGGGGCCGAGGCCGGCGCTCTGAGCATCGCTCTTGCGCGCCCAATCACAAATGACGTTCCGCCTGTTCCCGGTCAACGGGAGGACCCAATCAACGTCGAGAGCGTGGGCCCCACCTATCTTAGGTCCCTGCTGCGGCCGTAGTGCGTCAGAGCTGCTGGTTGGCTCCGGTCTAGGGACGCGGGGGTCCGCAGGGCCTGAGGCCGGGGCCCAACCTGGCTTTCCGGGATGTCGGTGGCCTTCGTACCGGACTGGCTGAAAGGCAAGGCGGAAGTCAATCAGGAGACGATCCAGCGGGTGAGCGCTAACTCGGGCCGAGAGACGTTCCTTAGTTGAGATCCCAAGGGCTGCGGGTGCGGGAAGCTTCCTGGAATGAGCGGCATCCCAACTGAGGCTTGTGGTTGTGCATAGGGGCATGACTTGCAAGGGTATGGAGTGAGATGGGAACAAAGTTGGCAAAGGCACCGAGGCAGGACAGCCCGGCATTGGAGAGAGTTGGTGGGCAGTGTTCCCGGCCGTCCGGATAACGCGCTGCACTGACCCTTTCTCTGGTCTTTCAGCTCTTGGAGGAGAATGACCAGCTCATCCGCTGTATCGTGGAGTATCAGAACAAAGGCCGGGCGAATGAGTGCGTCCAGTAAGTACCCGCTCCACCCCCCCGACTTCTGAGTGTAGGGTGAAACCAGTGTGGTGATACAGCAGCTGTCCTGAACTAGGAGTCTTGGATAATTGATCGCCGATGATTCTCAGAGAGGTTGCTTACCTGCCCAGGACTACACAAGACAGCACATTGTGAAGCCTGGAGTCAGACGTGGCACCCTCTTCAAAATTTGAATAATGCTCATTGCAGACCTCCTTCACGTAGACAGGTCAGCTGATGACAACAGGGATGGGGAAAGGAGCACATGAAAAACTAGTCTCAGGAGATGTGAGCTCTGGCCCCTTTCTCCTCATGGATCCCCAGTTTATCCTTTTTCTGAGGGGCGTCTGACCATTTGACTGCTAAGTTCCTTTTTTTTTAAGTAGGCTCCACGCCCAGCATGGAGCCCAACGCGGGTCTTGAATTCACCACCCTCAGATCAAGACCTGAGCTGAGCGCCCCGCCCCCTTCATTTTCTAACTTGCAGTCAGTCTGTAATGCACGCAGGGAGGGACCAATAAGACTTACAAGTTAGGCCAAAGGCAACTTTTGCACAGTAATGAATGTGCTCTCTAGCTATATTCCAAAATTAAAGAAAATAGTCTCTTTTTTTAAGAGAATATTAAATCATTTATTGATTACATATGATAATGGATGATACACAAGCTTTAATCCCATCTCTAATTTTATCTGATACCATAATTCAATTTAGATATATTGCATAGGATGTGCCAACAATCGTATTAATAACCAAATAAACTCCAGGACTTTGCTTGGGTGACCCTTTTAATGGTGAACTCCAGGTCACAACACATTAACTGTCGGTTCAACTACACCAAGGTTTGTGGAGACAATGGCTTCTGTGCCCAAGCAGGTTGCAAATCAATTTCGAATGGAACCTGGCATCACCCTGAATAATTCTAACTTCACACTGTTGAGGTAGTATACCAAGATGGCTTCAGAGTAGACTAACTTTACACAGCACATTTAAAAAAAGACACATTTATTTGGCATCATGATCAGACTATTACATTTAGCAATCAACAGCATGGGTACAAAAAAAAAAAAAACTACATTAAAACCCTTTGCTGGAATGCTTTACACTTTCCATAGAACAGAAACTAAAATAACCTGTTTTACAATTAGTCACAAATACAGTCCTCAAGTTTTTTGCCCATACACATGAGTATTGTCTAAAACATGTCTTCTTTGTAGCAGCTAGGCCCTGCCACCACTGTGCTTGGCTGAGTTCACAAATCTGTTGTAACCTGTAGCTTCCCTATCACTTCTCTGGCTCTCCTCTTCTGCTAAGCTTTGTTTCCTGGCAGTAATTAAAACCTTCTGTCACTGCCATAGCTACTGCTGCTGCTGGAACCACCATAGCCACCTTGGTTTCGTGGTTTGGCAAAGTATTGGCCTCCACCACCATAGGGGCCAGAGCTTCTGCCTCCAAAATTTCCTCCTTTCATGGGTCCAAAATTTGAGGATTGATTGTTGTAACTGCCAAAATCATTACAGCTTCCGATACCTCCAAAGCTGCTTCCATCATTACCAAATCCGTTATAGCCATCCCCACTGCCACCATATCCACCACCACCTCGACTGCCACCAGAGCGACCTCGCCCACTGAAGTTCCCTTCGTGACCAAAGTTGTCATTCCCACCAAAACCACCTTCACGACCACCACCAAAGTTTCCAGAACCACTTTGACTTCTTTGGCTGGATGAAGCACTAGCCATCTCTTGCTTAGATAGGGCTTTCCTTACTTCACAGTTGTGGCCATTCACAGTATGGTAGTTTTGAATGACCATCTTGTCTACAAAGTCATGGTCATCAAATGTTGCAAAAGCAAAACCTCTCTTTTTGCCACTGCCTCAGTCCGTCATCTTGATCACTTCAATTTTCCCATACTGTTCAAAATAATCTCTTAGATGATGTTCTTCAGTGTGTTCTTTAATGCCACCGACAAAAATCTTTTTCACAGTTAAGTGGGCACTAGGTCTTTGAGAATCTTCTCTTGAGACAGTCCTCTTTGGTTCCACAACTCTTCCATCCACCTTGTGTGGCCTTGCGTTCATAGCTGCATCCAACTCCTCCACAGTGGCATACATGACAAACCCAAAGCCTCTGGAGCGCTTGGTGTTTGGATCTCTCATTACCACGCAGTCCATAAGCGTTCCCCATTGCTCAAAATGGCTCCTCAGACTCTCATCGGTTGTTCCAAAGCTCAAACCTACGATGAAGAGCTTCCGCAGCTGTTCAGGCTCTTTGGGAGACTCTGACTTAGACATGATGGCGGTGGGAGGGGAGACTCTAATGATGCTTACTCGGCGGTGTCCATGGGCAGAAAGTAATCTAACGAACGTATCTTGAAAATGGTCTCTTTTCTAAATGTAGTCCAGGAATTATCCTCCATTTATTATAGAAAAATACATTATTTCATTCTTACTGAAGACATCTTTAAGAAAACCATCCTTTTCCCATCTCCCAGAAAAAATCACCTATAGTTCCTCACTGAACAGGTCAATGAAATAGTAGAGATATCCATCTTTGGGTAAGTCTTTACATTTGGTTCTGGCATCTGGTAATTTGCTTTTTTGCAGTTTATAGTAAACTCTCATTTTTCTATATGGAAAACAGTTGCAAAACATTCCTTTTGGTGTAGTGATTCTCAACCTATGGGTAAGAAAGTTACCAAAATTTCCGGGTGGGCTTTTTTACATTGCATGGGCCATGCTTCCTGCCCCCCCCCCCCCCCAGTCTGATTTGTCTTTCTAGGTAGAGAATTTTACCCCCTGATTGAGAATCACTACTATCGTAAGCTCATATTGATACCGTAGAAGTGCCTTGTTCCTTCTTTAACTTTGTTCCACAAATATTTTATAACTACTACTGAGTACCAGACACTGTTTCAGCTACTGGGGAATCAGTACCAAAACCAGCTCTGCTTTTTATCAAATCAGGTACCAGCTCTGCTTTTATGAATCCAGAGGGAGGAAATCATACAATTAGGCACATACTAATAAGTGCTTTGAGTAAGAATAAAGCAGGTTAATTGGCAGGAAGGGGTGCTGTTTTACAGAGGGTATCTCTGGTGAGGGAGCCAGCTACATAAGTATGTACGGCAGAGACAGCATCAGGTGGAAGAGCCCCCTAGGCTAGAGCACACTGGTTGTCTTCAAGTCACAGCAAAGAGGACACTGCAGCCAGAACTCAGAGAGTTAAGGGAAAGTGGTAGGAGCTGAGGTCAGAGAGATAACTAGCGGCCCCAATTGTGTAGAGCCTTGTAGGCCGCCAGAAGGGCTAGAAGGGTTCAGCTTTACTCAGAATGAGAGAGGAGCCTTTGGAGGGTTTTAATCAGAGGTATGGCAAGTCTTGACTTAAACTGTACAATAATCACTTGGGTTGCTATGTGGGGAATAGAGTAGGAGTGCAAAGGTAAAGCAGGGAGACCAGTTAAGAGACTGGTCCAATACAACAGTGTACGCAAGGATAGTGGCTTGACCCAGAGAGGTAGCTATGAAAGTGATAAGTGAGAACAGATAGATTCTAGATATATTTTCATTGGTGTTAATCAAGGAGGTTGATGATGTTGAATCATCCAATCAATAGATGAGCCATTCCAGTAGAGTGGGTAAATTCCTTCCCAGTCTTTTGTTCATGTTCAGCAAAACAAAGCCTCTGATTTTTGCCTTTTTCACCCATAGATACCAGCATGTGTTACACAGAAATCTCATTTATTTGGCTACCATCGCAGATGCCAACCCAACCAGTGCTTCAAAAGCAATGGAATAATCTTTCAGTTGTCTGTCATGAGGAGTAATTGAGGATAATCCATGTCCTATGAAGTAAAGACAGGATCTTTACCAACTCAACTGCTTAAAACACGGATGAACCCTTGTGGCTCTTTTAAAAATGTGAAAATGTGAAGAAAGCTACTAATGAACTGTATTCTCAGTGTAAATATTTATTTTAATAATTAAGCAGATTAAGTTGACTCCAGATGTTCTCTTTCCTGAAATGGGCATGTTTGGATAACAGAGATATCATGGGCATCTTCAATTCTACCTTTTCAGTTTTAACATGAAGTTGGAACTGATTAGGTGGTGGGCAAGCAATAGCAATTGACGAGACTCCTAACTGAGGTGCTGCCAAGTGGACGTGTAACTGTGTGCTCCCCCGTCAGTTGTAGTGGTGGACCTAACCATTGTTTTCAGGTTGCTTTGAAATAAAGCTTGCCTTTCCACAGAACACTCATATTGAGGTATAGAGATTTTCATAAGATAAGTGTTCCGTTTGGTTTTCCGGAAAAACTATAAGAACTTAAAAATACATGTAACGACACCATTATCATTGCTAACAAAATCAATAGTAATTCTTAATTACTACTTAATATCATCTACTAATATCTTTTCAAATACTTTTTTAAAATACCTTCTTCCTCCTGTCTTTTTAAGGTTCTTGGCTGGGGCTCTATACCAAAAGACAGATTAACAAAAGAAAGTTTTATGTGACATGGGAGGCCTTCATAAAGAAATGAAGACCCAAAGAAACAGTTAAACCTAAGTATTTTTATATGAGATCATATGAAAAGTGGAAAACTGAGAAGGATATGAGCGAAGTGTAGTAAATGGGGGAAACTTAACATGGTCTTTTCGTTCAAATTCTCAGTGTCACTCCATTTTAAGAGATAAGGATGCTCCTTTCTTCTGAGTATAGGGAGGGCACCTCTCACATGAGGGTCTTATGATCTGCTTCATGGGAGGTCAGAAAGTCCTTCCAGCATCTGCCATTTCTCAGTTTCTTCAGCTTGAAATATTCAGTAAGCCAACGTGCCATAGTTTGGAGTAGCATGTCCTGAGCCCCATCAATTATCATAGAATGTCTTTTTGTTGATTTCTCTAACTCAGGATCCAAACAAGATTCATACACTGCATTGTGTTGATGTCCCTTAAGTCTCTGTGAAAATACTTAGCAGTTCCCCTTCTTCTTTGCCATTTGTTTGGAAAGACTAGGTCATTTGCCCTAAAATTTCTCATATTCTGTATTCACCTAGTTGTATCCCTATGGTGTCATTAAATATGTCCCACTATTGCCCACTTTTCCTATAAACTGGTAGATCTAGAGGCTCAGACTCCGATTCTAATATTTTTGGCAAGTATACATCATAGCAGGTAAGAGGTACTCGCTTTTGCATCACATCAGGAATGACCTGATTTGATTTATTAATCAGGTGCCTGATAGCCTTTTGCTTAAATTATGATCTGCCTAGTTTTGATCTATTACTTCATTAGGGAAAGCATACTGGTGATTTCCTATGTTATCATCCCTTCTGCCTTTATTAGCTTTGTTTGATAAAGAACTTTCCTTCTTTGAGACTTAAATGTAAAATGAGGCAAGGAGATTTTCCTAAGTGAACCCCAAATTAGAACCTCCAATGCCTGGCTCCTTTTGTAGGAATCAAGGGTTGCAACCCAGAGAGACTAAATGTGTAAATAGTGAAGAGACCTCATTTTGAATCCCACCTCAATTGCAGCCTTTGAGAGCTCTTGTTTCACCTATAAAATGAGGATAATGAAAGTAGTATCTGCCACCTGAGGTTGTGAGATTGAGATACTGTGGTTGAGAGCTGGGCACGAAGTAAACAATGTATGTTAATGTGTGCTCTGATGTGTTATCTGATGGCTCTGGCCTTTTCCGGCCCTTCTCAAGTCTGGGAAGAAGCCTGTTCTTTGCTCCCTCACCCATTTTTCCATCCTTAGGGTCCTAGCGCATTAATGGACTCTTCCTCCCCCCACTGTTCATGGGATTGATGCCCATATACTATGCCAAGTGGGCTGGCTCATGGGCCTGACCTGGTCAGCAGATATGGTGGGCACTACGCAATGTTTTTGTTTTGAATTAGTTCCTAACATTTAGAGAGGATTTCCCATTATAGCCTGGATTTCTAGCAATGCTGGACCTGCAGGTCCACATGGCAACCATCAGCTGGAGTTGGATGGCAGCTGTCTCCCTTTACTAGACACCTTGACTTGTTTACATATGTCTTGGCCCGAGCTGGGATGAGAGCATCAGCTGATGTTTCAATTTAGGTCTCGCCTCAAACAAGCCTGAGACAAGGCCTTGTGTGCAGATAGTTTATTTGGGGGATGATCTCAGGAAGCAGAAATAAGGCCACGAGGAGACTGAGACGGAAGAAGGAAAAGCCACTAAATGTGTGTGTTACCAAGGTTACTCCTATAGGCAATAAGGACTCAATCCGGGCGGTAGGGGGATGATCTCAAAAGCATACAAATGCCCCAGAAGTGTCCGCCTGAGTTGGGGTTCCCTACAGGGGAGTTCAGTCCCCTGGACTAACAAGCAGCCTTTGCAGCCAAGTCCTAGATGTCAGAGGAGGAAGAAAATAAAAAGCTGCATGGCAGCCCCTGAGGGGGGCTTCTGCCAGCACAAGGTGCGTCTGACCTTGTAGGAACTGTCCACTGCTGGCAAGGTAGGCGAGGGTCTGTGACAGAGCATCAGAGGTTCCAGTGTGTGGGCTCTGAGCAAGCCAGTAGGGCCTATAGTAGGTACGTGTAGCAGAGGCAATAGCCTTGAAGACAAAAGTTCAGTTCTCCCTCAGGGGGAAGGAGTTTGTGACCTGCTGTTTCCCTCCCTTTGTCTCTTGGAAGGTATTTCAGTCCATGTGTAGAGGACTGAAGCAGGGCAAATCACAAGCCTCTGGAAATGGCCAAGGCTATTTAAGCCACAGTTTACCCTACTCTCCAAAGGGCCCTTTTCTGGGGAGATACACTGGAGAAGCTGCAGCAGGCCACTTAGCTGTCATCATATGTGCCCCCCAGCTTACCTCTACCTGTCTGCTTCAGAGACCACCTGAAGCACAAGTATCTGCCATCCCTCTTAAAGGACCCAGAAATCAATATAGTTGTGAAAGGTGATTTAAAAAGGTAAAGACCAAACCTGGCCAGAATGTATTAACCACTCTCTCTTCTCAGAGGACCTCCTACTTCAAGATTAAGCCTCTACTCAGCCTGTCTGCCCTTTTCCAACTCTCAGGGTCAAGCTGATCTCTGAACAGCCTACATAGGGCCTGAGCCTTTCTCTGGGGTTTCCAAGCCTGCTTCCCAGGATTTGCAACTGTGGTGACTGACTTCTGTCATTACCACATTCTCCTGAGATGAGGATATGGCAGCTAAAACAGAGAGAGCAGATAATTTGAGGTCGGGTTTATTCCACAAGATGTGAAGCTATTTTTCCACTTCCTCGTGAGGCTTTTTGACATCCAAGTCTGACTTTTGGGGACCCCAAGTCACAATATGGCTAGGGAGGAAAGGATGTTCAGTGCTATCTCATATGCTCTTGAACCTCTGTAATAAACTTCCGTTACTAAAGGTGATCCTGAGTATATTTCTTAAGCTGGGTACATAGTATCTTCATTTTATTGTTACTCTACCTCACACGTAATATGGTTTTGATTCCATTTTAATAAAAGAAATTTTAAGAAGTTAATCTGTTATCTCTTTTCCCAATGAAAATCCTACAGATTCCTCTGGAATCTAGATGTTCTGTTCAGTCACTGGGAAGGAACCTTTCTTTCCTTCCTAAAATTTTTAAATAAGAGTCTAGGGTCCAAAGGGAGGTTGTTTTCGTTTCTGTTTGTGATAAACTCATTCATTCAAAAACTATTTACTGATCCACTAGTATGCGCTGAAGGTACTGCAGTGAGGAAGTCAGACAATGTCACTGCTCTCGTGGAAACTTTATTCTTTTATAAAGAAGACAACACAGTATAAATAACCTGTATTTATGGGGGAGACAGGCAATAAAATATAAACAATCAAGGAAAGCTTCACATGGTAATAAGTGGCTGTAAAGAGACTTACAACAGGGTCATGTGCTGGAGAGTGTCTTGGTGGCTACTTTAAATTATGGAATAAGGAATGACCCAAGGAGGTAACACTGCAGCTGAGAGATGACTAACAAGGAACCTGACACGTGACCATCAAGGGACCTAGCAGTGCAGGCAGAAACAAGTGCTATGCAAAGACCTTTCATTCCAACTGGGTTTTTTTCTCTCTCTCGAGTCCATTTTAGAGCAGTGTTCACCTATGTGGTCATCAACTCAATTATAACATGAGTTCTCAGTTGACCAGGCCTTGTGTTGGGCTCTACAGTGAGGAAAATAGAGGAGAAGGGGCACTGGGCCCTGCTTTCAGGGAGCTCCTAATAAGCCTGGCAAGACAAAAGAGACCCACACCCAGGCATGGACCAGGGCACTATGCAGGACCAAGGATGCTGAGAAATTGTCCTGAGATATTGAAGCTTCAGGGATTCCAAGTGGAAATTATCAAATGCTTCTTATATATCATAGAAAAAGTCTATGCTTCTCAATTCCTGAGCACTCTTTTGACTGCAAACAAAAAATTGCCAGTTGCAGCAGAAGCTTTCAGCATCCCACACTCATTCCTTAAACTGTACTCCTTTAACTGTGTTGCAACTGACTCCCAACAGGTCATATTCGTATCTCTATCCTGAGGACTTTTTTCTAAAACAGGAAGTCTGCCTTGCCCAGGCATAGCCGACCAGAAGAACCTGGGGATTACCATGCTGGGAACAGCTCTCAACTAATGACTCTAATTGAACATCCCAGCTCCCTCACCCCTCCATAGGGACAATTCCAAGATGTTTCTTCTTCTGTACTGGTTGCCAGAGTTCCCCATCAGGGTTAAGCTCTAATCACCACTATGGTAGCTGGCTTAATAGCACACACTTTACTGCCTATCTTCCTTGTTCACTTCTCCACTCTCTAGATGGAGTTTCCTAGGGCCACTTCTCAAATAAGCAACTTGCACTCAAACCATTGTCAGAGAGTCTTCTTCTGAGGGAAACAACCAAGATACCACACCCTGGGTGGGTAGACCCAGATGGACTGGCTGAGCAAATGTAGCTTCCATTAGTACCACAGCAGATGAAAACTTTTTACCAAAACCCAATCTACTTGCAAAAACTAGTGTCTAGAAAAAGCATAAGAGCCAAGGACTCAGCAGAATTTAGAGTTTGAAATCAGAGAACAAGTTGACCAATATAGAGTAAGGAACCTGTCTGACAAGAAGTGCTTGTATAGTAGTTTTTCATATGAATTTGATGGCATACAAGCTCCCCACTGAAGACAATGAAGGATTAGACATTTGTGAACACGTAGTCATACTTTAAAGCAAGTTAGTGGGAAAAAAGCCACTTGCCTAAAAGGCCAAAAGGTGGGTGCAGTATCCACAGTTAAGGTGACTTTTTTAAAAAAATTAAGAACTTTATTAATGGGTGCTTGCCATTTGTTGACTTTTTTGAAAAAATCAAGTTGTAAACTTTTTTTTAAAAGATTTTATTTATTTATTTGACAGAGAGACAGCGAGAGCAG